GCTCGTGCTCTTTTTCTTCTTTTTTTTTTCTTTTTTTTTTTCTTTTTCCTTTACTCCTTTCTATTTCTATATTTGATTCTCAACGGGATCCACGACTGCACTGACTCAATTGAATTTTCTAGATACGGACAGCGAAATTTTGCGCTGATTTCTGAGGAAATTCTTTCATTTTTATATTAATATATTTGTATATTTGTATATTAATATAGAGGGTGTTTTATTTAGTATCATTTTTAATTGCAACGACGCAAAAAATATTTTATACCTAATGAATTGAATGGTATTCAACTGGCCAATATTCTGCATATACTATAATATACTAATAGACCTGTATGTTATATAATAAATGTTACAGAAAGCTCTGTGCTTTAAATTTATAAATATATAATTTATATTATATTTAAATTATATTATATTTATTATATATTATAATATATATTATATTTATTATATTATAATATATATTATATTTATTATATATTATAATATATATTATATTTAAATTTATAAATATATAATATAAAATGCTTTCTCTATAATTTTGTACTAAATATTATTCCGTACTTTGACTAAAATTCTTTTCGTATTACGTGCTTTCTCTCTGCAATTTTGCTCTATAACATTTGAATACAATTCGTACAATTTTTTTTCATATCTCTCTCTCTCTTTCTCTCTCTCCTTGCAATTCTGCGCTCAAAAATTTCTTACAGACGCACCGAAAACACGACGATTTCACATTTTTCACCCAGCAGTCAATCTCGCTCGATTGAATTCGCTCGAGCTCGCATCGCAGTTCGAATTATCAGGTCGTTTCATCGGATCGATAGAGAGATAATCGTGAACACGATCGATGGGCGATCCCCGGGGGTCGTTCGCGATACGCACGCACACCGAAAACTCGCGCACACTCGCCGAAACGCGGAGATTGCACAATCGTGGCGGCGGTTCTCCGTTCGTTACGAATGATATACCGCGTTCAATTAGATCGGAGCTTAATTTAGATGAGTCGAGGGTGGGGCATGCTACACGTCGGTGAAAATAATTGAAGTAAGTTTCACGAGTGACGTGATCGTTGTTCGAACGACGAGGAAAAGCATGTTTCATCAGAGATGCATAAATTTTATTAAAACGAGCTCGCGTGCCTCGCCGATGCTCGGTGGGAAATTTCCATCGCGGAAATATTGCGCACTGCGTCTTTCGTTGGACGAAGGGTGAAAGAGAGAAGAGAAAAAAAAAAAGAAGAAGAAGAAGGGAGATAGAAAGAAAGGAAAAAAAAGAAAAGAGAAGATGAGATCTCGCCAAGCCGATTGACCAGTCCTCTCCGCTGATGGGAAAGTTACTTCCGAAAACGCGCTAACGAACTCTTCTCTATCAGTTTTCACGAGCTGCAATTCTGAGCCGCGATCACAGTCCTTGATCCTTTCTAGTCGACGTGTCGCGAACAATCGCATGTTCGACCTAGAACAGTGTCCACGATTTCCCCCACTTAATGAGCGACGCTGGCTGCCAACCGATCCTTGAAATTCCAATGAGCCAGTCGGAACGAAATTTTGTTAGGTTGTTGAATAATTAATAATTAATTTTCCTATTTTAGCGATCCAATTTTAGCCCTGTTGTAATTGTAATATTGAGACTTGTAATAAAGATACTGGAACCTAATCTTTCTAAAATAATCAGTGTGTATATTTACCTCATATATAGCTAATCTATCTATTACTTTACAACAAACATCGATATACCGACCTAACCTAACTTATTTATTATTTTATAACAAACATCGATCTAACCTAATCTATCTGTTACTTTAAAACAAACATCGATCTTACATAACCTATCTGTTACTTCATGACAATTGGGATTCTAGTATTTTGATCGTAAATATCAACATTTATCTTGGAATTTTTTTTATAATATATCCATATATACATAAACATATATATATATATATCCACTTTACAACAAACATCGATATATATATATATATATATATATCAACCTAACCTAACTTATTTATTATTTTTTAACAAACATCAATCTATTTTAACCTGTCTATTACTTTATAACATCGATCTAACCTATCTTTTACTTTAAAATAAATATCGATCTATATATATATATATATATGTTTATGTATATATGGATTTTATGTATATATTTATGTATATGTTTATGTATATATGGATTATTATTAAAAAATTCCAAAATAAATGTTGATATTTACGATAAATGTTGAGTATTTTAAAATACTAGAACCCCAATCGTTATGAAGTAATAGATAGGTTATGTTAGATCGATGTTTATTTTAAAGTAACAGATAGGTTAGGTTAAATCGATGTTTGTTATAAAGTAATAGACAGGTTAAGTTAGATCGATGTTTGTTATAAAATAATAGATAAGTTAGGTTAGGTTGATATATATATACATATCGATGTTTGTTGTAAAGTAATAGATAGGTTAGGTTAGATCGATGTTTGTTTTAAAGTAACAGATAGGTTAGGTTAGATCGATGTTTATTATAAAGTAATAGATAGAAGTTAGGTTATCATATCATATGTTATCATATGTATGTATGATTTCCCACATAACGAACAGTATCGATGTTTGAATCCCAATGAAATTCTACAAGGTTATCGAATAATTAATTATTAATTTTCATGCGATTAAATTTTTTCGTCCAGTTACATCGAGCATGTTGGAAACGAAGACGAATATCGTGATTTACAATGGAAATATTGAAATCTAATTTCTGATGTGATCTTTGTCAAACAATCAGAGTGCAGAGCTGATACATATTGTGATGTATTTTTTCAAAGAATTTCAAACATAAACGTGAAAATCTGTAGTGAAAACATTCGAACCCCTGTTGTTACATACTGTACGATGTACATACGTATATGTGTATTTTCAAAAAGAATCCACGCGACCCGCGGGAAAACATAGAATTGCGCAAACAGCCAAGTGCATATTCCCAGCTGTGATTTTTCATTCGGCGTGAGTTTGAATTTGGGAAAGTTTCGCCGCGAGAACCGCGTCCAGAAACATAAATCTAACGTTCTGAAAGGTCAAAGACGTCGTTCTGTTCCATCTAAGCGCCATCACTTCGCGCCTTCGTAAATCGTTTTCGTCGAAACGACTGCGAAGTTACTCGTTAAATCATCGTGTTCTCCGGTATGATTGATCGATCGGATGCAGCACGAAAAATTCTTGAAACGCGACTATAATATGTATATATTTATTAATATTAAATTATTCGTATATATATATATATTATTTTTAAATTATTTACATATATATATTATTATTATTAATAAATTATTTTCGTATATATTATTATTTCGTATACATTTGTATTATTATTAAATTATACCTAATTATATATATATTATAATATATACTATAATTTATTTATATATATAGTATTATTATTATTAATAAATTATTTACATATATATTATTAGTATTATTATTAAATTATATTCAAACCTAACTCACACCTAACCCAAACCTAAACGTGGTTTTAATATTTTTGTAATTAATTACATACATTTATAGAATTAATTATATATAAATGTATGTAATGAATTCCAAAAATATTAAAACCATGTTTAGGTTTAGATTAGGTTCGAGTTAGATTTGAATTAGGTTTGGGTATAATTTAATAATAATAATATATATATAAATAATTTAATAATAATACTAATAATATATATATATATATATATATATATATATATATATATATACATATAGTTAGGTTTGGGTTAGATTTGAGTTAGGTTTGAGTATAATTTAATAATAATAATATATATATAAATAATTTAATAAAAATACTAATAATATATATATATAAAATTAAATCCATCGTCGCGGATATCGTACGAAGAAACAGACGATAATCGCCCTGTGATTTTACTCCGCTCGCGCCACCGGTAAACAATAAAAGTTTGGCGATGTTGGTGACCGATGACGGTGACACGCGAAGGGAGGAATTTCAGTTGCCCTTTGAAATGCCGCGGGGTCGCTGCAGGCATTATCCAACTGGCCGATCTTAATTTCTTCTTACAAGGAGCGCCGTCAAGGCGAGCTCGTGGCTATACGTATGTTTGTATGCATGTATTCCGTACACGTTCCGCACGGCACGCGACCCGAAGCCGCGTTTCAATGCGCGATAAACACGAAAATAAACCGGACTGCCGGTGTGCATTTTTTCGTGTGACGTCACTCAGGAGAGACCTCAACTGCGCCCGAAGGTTCGCATGTTCGCGCGTGTGCTTAAAATAATGAAAACAATCGATAGGCTCTGTTAGGCTGTTAAATATCGATCACGCGCGATATCAGAGGCACGTTTCAACTGGGCCGCGATGCAGTCGCGCAGTTTTCGCTTTGAGGAAAGCTCGCGATCCGTGACTCGAATTGGTGAAACTGGTGAAACTACACCGAAACTGAATTTGTTTCGGGAGAACTCTGAAACGATTGAAAGAATTCCGGAAGCCTCGCTCGTAGTTTGGCCCGATCTGATTTGTCTCGGCCGTGTCCAATCTCGATGATTTTTCATAGTCGTTTGGACGAACTGACGAAGATCTTCTTGCACAGAGTATTCCAAATTTATATGTCAAAACATCGGAAGTATATAAAGTGAGAAATTTTATTCTTTAAAGATTTGCCATTTAAAAAAAAATTGCAGAAAAAAGGGAGTTTTAATCTTCTCGCTTACTCAGGAAGTTTGTTCGATGCCAATAAACTGAAGAGTGTAACTGAGAGACCAAATATTACCGGAACAATTTCTAGCTACAATCAAATTTTATCTGGACGATTTTTCTGAATTTCAGGATGATCTTCGTTTTCTCAAATGGGAACTATTGTGTTAGTTAGTCACCGCTCTGTTTCTAAACTATTCACTCTAGGAAAAAATGTTTCAACTAGAATTCACTTTGCTTTGAGAACATCTTACGATGGCTGTAACGTAAATCCACGTCTCAAATGGAACTTAATATTTTCAGATGAACGTGTCAGCCTGTCCCACGATGAATTCATCGACCCAAATATGTTGACGTTTCAAGATTATTCAAGATCATTCGCTGCCGAAACAAAGTAAGTGTTACTCGAGACATTTTCTTGACATGACAGTATATAATAGTTCAGGAGATAATTGCATGGGTCACTGTCAAATGCGACACCCAGTAGACACTAACTCGTGACGCTAACTCGTTCCAACATTCCGCCGAACGAGCGAAAATATCGGAGAAATTCATTCATATCGATCTGCGTCCAACCGCAAAGACGACTCTATTGTTCGTCATATCTCTTTCAATTACTTTCGTTGATCAACTCGTTTCTTTATTACTTCGTCGCTCCTGTTCCCAAATTTTCCAGCGCAGCTCGAGATCGTCGCGTAAATCAACGAGCAACGAATACATCGGTAAATAAAAGCGTCGTCGTCGATAATTCATCGCCGTTGTTCTCCAAATTTATCATCAAGGCGTTGCCAAAGATACCATACAAAGATAAATTGTCAGAAGCGTACGCTTCGGTCCGCGTTAATCTCTTTTGATGGAATGACGTGCCACGCACGTCGTGAATATTTGGCCCAAAATTGCAATATCTTCCCAGTTTTAAGTATAGTGAAATATAACTCCAAATAACAACAATAATAATAAATAATAATAATAACAATAATAATAATAAATGTATTACTTCTCAATAATTTCTATAATATGTGCCATCGTACCAACAAGTTCAAAAAGAAAGCGACGAATTATTGTATGTACGGTTCGGTCACTCGTTATGGTCCGCAATCAGTTGCCAGCGCAAGGGCTTAACCTCCAAAATTGTAATACTTTCTCAGTTTTAAATATAGTGAAATATAACTCACAAATAACAACAACAAATAATAAATTCATTACTTCTCAATAATTTCTATAATAAGTACTATCGTACCGACGAGTTCAAAAAGAAAGCGACGAATTATTGTATGTACGGTTCAGTCACTCGTTATGGTCCGCAATCAGTTGCCAGCGCAACGGGTTAACCTCCAAAATTGCAATATCTTCTCAGTTTTAAGTATAGTGAATTATAACTTACAAATAACAACAACAAATAATAAATTCATTACTTCTCAATAATTTCTATAATAAGTGCCATCATACCGACGAGTTCAAAAAGAAAGCGACGAGTTATTGTATATACGGTTCGGTCACTCGTTATGGTCCGCAATCAGTTGCCAGTGTAAGGGGTTAACCTCCAAAATTGCAATATTTTCTCAGTTTCAAGTATAGTGAAATATAACCCAGGCAAAACAAATAATAAATTTATTACTTCCCAGTAATTTCTATTCAATGATATAACGAATAAATTCAAAAAGAAGGCGAATTATTGTATACGGTTCGGTCACTCGTTATGGTCCGCAATCAGTTGCCAGCGCAAGGGGTTAACCTCCAAAATTGTAATACTTTCTCAGTTTCAAGTATATTTAAGTATAACTCAGGCAAAACAAATGATAAATTTATTACTTGTCAATAATTTCTATCCAGTGATTTACCGACCAGTCCAAAAGAGAAAAAAAGCGACCAATTATTGTATACGGTTCGGTCACTCGTTATGGTCCGCAATCAGTTGCCAGCGCAATTGGTTAAACGCGCGATAAATTGGGAGTAGTGTCGCGAGTAATTTCGAGATATTAAAAGGTTTAGGTTTAGGTTACGTTTAAATTAGGTTCAGCGAATATGTGGTGAAGCGAGAATTAGGTGAAAATTAGTGAAAATATAATAAAGTGAATACGATTCAAGAAAAGTGCTTGAAATGTTTTGTGAAATCCCCTCCGTACCAGAATTCGACTAATTGCCATGCGAATTACGGAAACCGGGGATGTACAAACAGCCGAGATTATGAATTTAGGTCGAGTCGCAAAACATCCCGGTGGAAAAACCACGAGCGAAATCCAGCGAGAGCATCTTTCTTCATACGAATGTTTAGGATCCCGACTGATTCAGATACCGCGAGATGAAAGACCCGCGTCGATGTTTGGTGGCTTTCAACAGTATTTGACTCTTCCAGATGACCGATAAAAAACAACCCCCGAGTAAAATATATATTTCTCCGTCTGTCACCGAGTCACTGAACCAACAACGGTGAAAGATTCTCGATGATTTGAAGAGTGATTTGCAATTTCGTGAAAAGAAAGGATCGTGTTAACTATTCACTTGGTTCTACTTTGATAGTCGTGAGTTTTTTTTTTTTTTTAAATGACTCTACGTCACGTGTTATGTTCTCGAAAATTGTAAAAATTCAAACGCATGTGAAAACTTTTCTCGCAACTAGATTCATCATCGTTTCGAAGATTGAAGATTATTTCAGCTAGTACGATTTTTCTTTCATCACTTTATCAGACTATTACTGAATATTAAGGTTAAATTAGGACAAAAATTCGAGAAATTTTAACGTTTTAAATTCAATAAAATGGTAAAGAGAAAAAAATTCGTACAGTAAAATCGTATTTTTAAAATTTGTTGTAAAGAGATTTCAGTCTTCAAGATGAATAAATTTTTTAATGTTCTTACGTGCGTTTGAATTTTTACATTTTTCGAGAAAAAAAAGCATCCTTTTCTAGCTGTTAGATGACGTAAGATCATCTTTAAAAAAAATGTAGTGGCTTAAAGTTTAAAATGAGACCAAGTGAATCGTCGTGTGATCTTTCTTTACGAAGTTCTAAATCAACACAAATCGTCGACAATTTTTCACTGTCATTAATTTAATATAGTTCTTCACTGTGTTTCGAACGAATCGTTCTTGTTCAAGATCAATTTTTGTCGAAATTAATCGTTGCGATTGTTGGGTAAAATGAGCAACCGGTAGTTATCGGTAGTTGTGGCCACCAGCCGGAACCACAGATGGTCACGTGCAACCAAGTCTGCGGACAACCTTAAGACAATACATCATTGAACTGCTTACTCGATCCTTAGACCAGCCAGAGACATTATCTGTCGTCGTAACTACAAGTGATCACGTTTCCTTCGACCGCTGATTACAACGTATTACGGTCGTAAATTATGAGAGACTTGCCACAAAATCAATTAACAGGAGACGTGGTGGAATATTAATTGCTAACGACAATCAGATTAATATTTTCCAGTCTCGAGGCAAATACAGACAACTAGTTTTTAAAAGCTTTGTGCTGAAGTGTATATACCGTGAGAAACTTAATTTAAGAAAAGTTTAGGAGGAATATTAATTGCTAATGACGATCAAATTTTTTAATCTTGTCCTGAAAATAAGTAGCAGAGAACTAGTTTTTGGAAGTCTTGTGCTGGAATGTACGTACTGTAAACAGAAGCACAAAGCCACAAAGTCATCGCCTTCATTTCCAGTGCAATGAACTGTTTCCTCGTCTCAGTTACACAAACTTGAACGAAATTTGATTATTTTGCCTAGCTCTCTCCGACACTTTTGCGCCACTCTTGGAAATTTCATTAGAATTTCATCGATCGTTCGGTTTTTAAATTAAACAACTGTTGCACTTTTGTGCAGTGTTTCATAGTTCTCGTTAAATGACCGACACTGCACTTTTTCACAATCTGTACTGTTACGTATTTACTACGTTTGCGTATCTTTATCAGACGAGTTTGATAAACGAATTATCTGTCACTAGCTTTCAGTTTGGTTTTCAATTTTCGAGCGTACACACTTCGACATCGTTGATGCAAATACAGCTCATTAAAGTGTCAATATAATTACCGAGCAGATAAAAATAAAAATTCAAAATTGATGTACTTTTAGTCTGTCTACAATCTTGTCCTAATGTGTACAATTCTGCACAAAAATCTAACCTAAATCTAAATCTAAACAACAACCACCTACACTCTCGTTATTATCTGCACAATTCTGTATAAAAACCTAACCTAATCTAAGCTTAACTTGATGTAATCCAAACTTAACCTAATCTAATCTAGATATAATCTAACTTACTCTAATCTAAACCTAACGTTGTCATCTGTAAAATCTGCGCAGTTGGAGGTCAGGTTTAGGTTAGAAATTGGATTTTCTCGCATTTTCTCGATTGCCCAACACCAAGCTGTCTAATCTCGAACCTAACCCAAATCTAACCTAACTTAATCTAATTCTAAATCTGATCTAGACATAACCTAATCCTGAACTTAATCTAAACCTAACCTCGTTGTGTTCTGCAAAATCTGCGCAGTTGGAGGTTAGGTTTAGGTTAAAAATTGGATTTCCTCGCATTCTCTCGATTGTCCAATTTTGAACCTAACACAAACCTAAACTAATTTAATCTATTTCTAAATCTAATCTAGACATAACCTAACTTAATCTAACCTCGTTGTCATCTATAGAATCTGTGCAGTTGGAGGTTTAGGTTAAAAATTGGATTTTCTCGATTGTCCAATACCAAGCTGTCTAATCTTGTACCTAACTCAAACCTAACCTAACTTAATCTAATTCTAAATCTGATCTAGACATAATTTAATCCTGAACTTAATCTAACCCAAATCTCGTTGTCATCTGCAAAATCTGCGCAGTTGGAGGTTAGATTTAGGATTAAAAATTGTATTTCCTCGCATTCTCTCGATTGTCCAATCTTGAACCTAACTCAAACCTAACCTAACTTAATCTAATTCTAAATCTGATCTAGACATAACCTAATCCTGAACTTAATCTAACCCAAATCTCGTTGTCATCTGCAAAATCTGCGCAGTTGGAGGTTAGATTTAGGATGAAAAATTGTATTTCCTCGCATTCTCTCGATTGTCCAATCTTGAACCTAACCCAAACCTAAACTAACTTAATCTAATTCTAAATCTGATCTAGACATAACCTAACTGACTCAAATCCTGAACTTAATCTAAACCTAACCTCGTTGTCATCTGTAAAATCTGCGCAGTTGGAGGTTTAGGTTAAAAATTGGATTTTCTCGACTGTCCAACACCAAGCTATCTAATCTCGTACCTAACCCAAACCGAATCTAACTTAATCTAACTCTAAATCTGATCTAGACATAACCTAATCCTGAGCTTAATCTAACCCAAATCTCGTTGTCATCTGTAAAATCTGCGCAGTTGGAGGTTAGATTTAGGATTAAAAATTGTATTTCCTCGCATTCTCTCGATTGTCCAACAGTTCTCGTTTGTCTTCAACTTCGATCATTAATCTGACACGAGGGGGGGGGGGGGCTATCGTTACGGCCATTAATCAGAGATTAACGAACGGGGGTTCAGAGTTCTTGAGAAAACTGGGGGCTTCTAAATCATGACAAAGTGTCCAATTCGTGGCGAGAAATATCTTACGTTATTACGCGTATAATATCTGTTAAATTAACTCGAACGAAGCTGTGAAACAATGGTTTTCTATTCGTTTAGGAACAGGGAAACGAGGAGAGAAAAGAACAACACCAAAAAAAAAAAAAAAAAAAAA